TCCAGTGGGCGGGCAGCGCCGAGGCTACGACAACCGGGCCTACGGGCAGCAGTACTGGGGGCAGTCTGGAAACAGAGGGGTGAGTGCAGCTCTCCTTCTGCTCCTCCTCTGGGCCGTGCTAGCACTCCTATTGGCTTGGGGGAGCAGAGTGGTTTGGGCTGTTTTCTCAGGGCTTAGCTTGTGCCCATTTAATGTGTTCCTCTGGAAGGATTTATCCTGGGAAGATTAAGTCTGTTATAAAATCAAGCCGAGATGTGTTTCATGTAAGATGGGGGATAGCAGTGGATCGTGATACTGGAAAGCCATAAATCTTCACTCCTCTTTCTCCTTTCTCAGGGTTATCGTAATTTCTACGATCGATACCGGGGAGATTATGATCGCTTCTATAGTCGAGATTATGAGTACAACAGATACAGAGACTATTACAGACAGTACAATCGGGATGTAAGTATCTTCTGGGCATAGAGAGGGTGAGGGGGGGCAGGACCAGGGGCTGAGTGTCATGCCTCTTGGTCCTCAGCCAGCTGTGGCCTCAGGTGACGGGGTTCCCCTCTCTTCTAGTGGCAGAATTACTACTACCACCACCCCCAGGACAGAGACCGATACTACAGGAACTACTACGGTTACCAAGGGTATCGGTGAAGCCTCTGCCCTTGTCACCTGTCAGCCATGAAGCTGAATCTCTGGGGGTGCCAGCCATCCCCAAAAACACAACCAAGGAAAACAGGGGCTGTCGGGGTGGGGCTGAGCTGCCGGGGAGGGGTGGTGGGAGGGAGGGTGCGCAAGCAAGGGTGGGGGAGGGGGGAGGTGGAAACAAACAACAAAACTGTACATTTTTTTTAAAGTTTGTTGAAAAGAATATTGTCTTATTCTATAAAACATTTCAAACCTAGTTAGATATTTGTAATCAAAAAACATTTGCTCAGAAAGCAGCACTTAGGGCTGCCTGTCCTATAACCTGCAGTTGGACAGGAAAAGGACTGAAAATGTCACCCTTTAACACTGTAAGGCAGCAGGAGCGCAGCCATGTGAGGGAGAGTGAGGAGGTGGAGTGGAGGGTGAGCAAGCAAGCGTGTGAGGGCACTCTCCGTGGCAGGCAGGAGTGGGACAGAGGGAGAGCTTGTGACTGGGGCAGTGAAATAAACGATTGGCTCTTATCAATCACTTGCACCAACTAACCGTTTGTATTTTCTTTACCAACCTTTCCCTCTTGGGATATCTGGTCTGGTGGGCTGGGAGGCCAGAGTGGCATTGTCTCCACTTTCCTGTGCCTGTGTGCTGTTTGGCTGAGGCCTGGAGACTACCAATTGGGTGGTTCTATTATATAGGATTCCCAGGCTGAGGAGGCAGGGGACTGTGCTTGTTCACAGAGCAGAATAGCTTGCACCCTCTACGTGCTCACTAATGAGTTCCCATCAAGTCTTGGGGGAGAATGGGGTTGCAGGCCTCAGCCTGAAGATTGTGATCGTCAGTCCTCTCTGTCTTCCAAGGTTGAGATAGGCATGAAGTCTCTGAAATCATCTCTGTTAGAGTCTCTGTCCTCTTACAGTGCAAGAGAAGGAACGTTTCTCAGGGTTTCCGCTCACACAGAAATGAAGCAGGATTCTTTTCATGGCAGCAGGATGTGTATATAGTGAATCCTGTGGTGTGGGCTAGCAGGCCCAGGTGCTGAGAATAGCAACTATTTTATACAGTATGGAGGGCACGAGCCCGCTGGTCTTTTTGATACACAGGTAGAAAGTGAATAGAAAGGGGCGGGTGGGGGGGGGAGGCAGCTCAGTGGGGCTGCTGCAACTTGGGGAGAGTGTGAATGTGTGTGTCATGTGTGCATGAAAGGGAGCGCCCCTTCCTGGCTTCTTGAAACAGGATTCCTTCTGGGGTGCTTTGCTTGCGTGTCCCCGGAGAGGCCTCTAGCCAGGAGACTTCAGTTGGGATGGTCTTTGCAACTTTACCAACACCCTCCCAATTCTTAACAGCTTCAGGTGCCCGAGTTCAAGGCTATGGGTGGGATATGGGAATGCTCTTTCAATATGTAGCTTCAGTTTTAATTCATCTTCCCGCTCAGCAGCTCAGCATGGAGTCCGCCAAGAGCTTCTTCAGCCAATACCATGTGTTGCAGCGCTTCCTGGTGAGGAAAGACCCTGGGTTGTGTTACTAGAAAAAAGCTTCACTTCCATTTCCTCACCTGAGCAGTTCTCTGTTTAAAACTTTGTGCCGAGATTTGATCTCTCCCTCTCCCACTGTGACCACCATGCAGCCCTTCTCTAGGTCTGCAGGCTCTCATTCTGGCCCTCTAGTTGCCCGTCTGTGATACACCCTTCTGTCCCACAAATACCTCTGACCCCCCAGGCTGGAATGGGGGGCTGATAGGAAGTAACTGCTTGCTCATGGTGTCCTCTGGACACTGCTTTTGTAGTGCCGTCGAATGGATTTGTGTGTGGCAGTGGGTGAAGTGACTGCATGAACTTTTCTGTAACCCACTAACTTTTTATTATTAAGGGAGTTTTTGAGAAGCTTTGCTCATAGTATCAGGGCGAGGAGGTGAAAACTGGAGCCCAAAGAAATTCTCTTAGGGCAAGATCATGTTATAATAGAAAATTAAATCTGAGGCAGAAACTGCCACCCCCTTCGAAATATCTAGTCCTCCAGCAAGTAGCATCCTTTTGTAATCTATGACATGGTTTGTGGGTGCTGGGCCCTCAGGGCCAGGGGGATAAACTCTGCCCCTTTGGGTTTCTTGTGGGGAGGGAGGATTAGGGGAGGTACTTGCTGTTAAATTTTGACACTAGAAAGTCACCTTTAAAAAAAAAAACTGTTTTTCTAGGTGGGTGGAAAGTGAAACTGCCATGTCCTTGTTGGTTTAATCCAAGATCACTCACAGCAACACTAGATGTCTGGGTTTTGTTTCTGTCTTTTTATTATAAAAAAAAAAAAATGTTAAGGGGGCAAATGTGGATTAACAGAAGGGATCCCTGGCCTTGTTTTCCTTAGATTTGTTTAGTGTTTTATCAGACCTCTGTTGTAGTTGTAGATGGAAAAGCTTGTGAGAAAAACAAACATCATATGGAGCCTGTAAATGTTTTTGCACAACCTGTAAAGCATTCTTGGAAGTGGCCAGTAAAAAAGGGTTTTACCATTTTTTAAAAAATGTAACTGTGTCATTGTTTACATCTGTAACTTTTTCCTCCCCTGTTCTCATTACAACATTCTGGCGAATATGTAGGCACAGTAGCTTCCAGTTTTAGAATAAATAACCATTTGGATTGAATTCACTCTCTCTCCTGTGGCTGCACTGATGGGTGGAGTGTGTCATCTGAGGGATTGATTTACTTTTGGTGCTGCTTCCAGTTCACTGGGTCCAACCAAGGATGGCTTTCCTACTTCGCCACCCATGGCTTCACGTGGTGCCAGCCACGCCTCTGCTCCGGTGGCGAGCCTACTCAGTGCTTGCTGATGCCAAGAGCTTGAGCCATTGGAATAGAAGAAAATAAGTTATGTCTAGACTAAAACCAGGTGGATGCCTGAAGTTAAATCTCAGGTCCCATTTATGGCCAAGTAAGTTTATTCATGAGTAACTGCCACTTACGAGTAAAAGCCTAGTCCTTCAGCAGAGGTGTTTGGGGGGAATTCTGTGGACTTGGGGAACGAGAAGGTAACTGATTCACAAGCGCACGACTGCAGCCAGCGCTGCACGGCCCGTCCTTTCCCACCGGGACTGACCGGGCTGGGGGCGCCGGCGCGGGGAGCCCGTGTGTGCGGAGCCGGGACAGGTCCGGGGCCCCCGGCTTCCCCTACCGGACGGGGGGACCCAGGCCCAGGCGGGTACCCCGAGGCTCCCCCGATCGCAGGGCCCGCCCAGCCATCACCTCAGCGCTTATTCACAGCTCGTGCCTCGTCTCTGAGCCCCTTCATCGCTCCTCGGGCTGCAGCGCTGGCCCTCGGATCCGAGCATGAGCATGCGTGAGCAGGTGAGCAAGGGCTTTTGAAAGTACCGGTGACAGCTGTCGAGCACTCCCTCCGGCTTTCCCCGTCTGCGCCGATGCGGGCTTTCACTCCCGGCCTGGAGCTCGCCAAGCGCGGAGCAGCCCGAAGAGGAGGGTCCTGGGCGGCGGCGGCCGCGGGGCGCGGGTCCTCCGGCTCCACCGGCTCCGACAGGAAAGGGCTCGGCCTCCCCTCGGGGCAGCGGCTTCCTCTGCGCCCCCCCCCCCGGCCCTCCCCCGCTTCCTGTGACAGCGGAGCTGGGTGATGGCTACCGTGAGGCAGGTGCCCCCCATTGCTAGAGGCCTCCCCTTGACCCCCCCGTCCCCCCAAAACGTGTCCTGGCACAAAACTGGCTTAAGCTTCCCCGAAGGATGTGCCCCTGGGGGGGGCCTTGACCATCTGGGGGGCCGGCCGCCGGGTGACCTCAGCCCTGGCCCCTCCGTGAGGCCCTGAAGGGAAGGGCCTCGCGGGCGGCGGGCGGGGGTGGCGACGAGGGGGCAGCGGAGCAGCGCCCGTCCCCTCGGGAGCCGCCATTCCGCGAGGGAGAGCCCGACTGCCGCCCCGGGCCCCGGGCCGCGGCCTCCGTAGCCGTCACCGGGTCGGGGCGCCGGCTGCCAGGCCCCGGGGCGGGTGCGAGGGGAGACCCAGCCTGCGAGGGCGGGGCAGCCATTTTGAGACCAGACGAGCTCGAAGGGACCATGTTGAGAACGCCAGCCGCTGGGCCGCCATTTTAGGGCCGGGCGGGCGGGCGCGGATTCGCGGTGACGCGGGCGCGGGCGGCGCCGAGCCCCTGGCGGCGGCCATCTTGGAAGCGCCTGTGGGCGCGGCCATCTTAGCGGCGCGGCCGGCCTCTCCCTCCCTCCCCGCTCCTCCCGTCGGCGGCCGCCCGCCCGGCTCCCTCCCTGAACCACTCGGTTCGTCTGTTTTCAGTTTCTCTTGCCTCGTCGTCCACGGCCCCCGTGCGCGTGCGCATGAGTGTGTGAGAGTGTGTGTGTGTGTGTGTGAGTGTGAGTGAGTGTGAATCCCCCGTGGAATCCACTGGCGGTGTCCCCGCCGCCCCACCCCCCACCCCAGGCGGTGCGGGACCCGCGGGAACGGCCGTTCCCGGGCCTCGCCGGCCCCCCGGCCGCACGCACCCTCGTGACTGACGGCCCGCCCCCCAAAGACCGCGGCACCGGAGCTGCACCCCGAGGCTCTGGTGACTTTATTCAGATGCCCCCCTCCCGCGGCCCCAGGTGAGGCGGGAGCCGGCCCGGCCCGCCCCTCGCCGTGGTCGGCGGGTCACAGGGGAGGGTGGGGCCGGGCGCCGCTGGGCGTGGAAACCGGGCGGGGCGGGCCGGGCGCTGCGGCACCTCCCGGAGGCCGAGCGGGGGCGGAGGCGGCGGGCGCGGGGCGGCGGGCGGGCTCAGAGGAGGGCGCAGAAGAACTTCTTCTCCCGGAAGGGGTTCTCCGAGGTGGGCACGGGGGTGATGAGCGGGTCCTCGCAGGCGTGGGCGTCGCAGTAGGACATGAGGTCAGCGGCCGCCTTGGACACCTGGGCGCCGGGAGGGATGTGAGCCCGGCCCGGCGCTGTCCCCGCCGCCTCCCCGGCCTCCCCCCCACCGAGACGGGAGCATCCCTGACCCGCACCCCGCCCACCTTGATCCGGCAGAGGCTGGCCTCGATCTTGAGCTGCTCCACCATCTTGCGGGCTTGCCCGATGCTCATGGTGCTGTTCACCGGGGTCTCCCCTTTCATCCTGGAGAGGAGCGGCGGGCCCCTCCCTGCTCGCTCACCACCCTCCGAGGGCGGGGTCATGCGCCCCAATATTTCGTTCTCCCCCATCCCCACCCCTGCGCCCTCCGCTGCCATGGAGAGGGAGGCGAGGTGCTCCCGTCTCCCACTGGCCCGGGCCACGCCGACCCTTCCACACACACGACCCCGGGCGTTTCAGCCCGTGCAGCCATGTGCTCCTGCTCGGGAGCCTCAGCCAGGAGCCCCGCCCTGAGCCCCTCGGGGAAAGCAAGATGCTCCCGACTCACCTGAGGCCACGGGCAGCGGCGGCCGGGAGCGGGGTCCGCGGGGGGCGCCGGAGCCTGGTGCCGGGGTGCGCGCCCCACCTGCAGGGAGTTGCCGCCGAAAGCGTTAGCGCCGAGGCTGCTAATACAGGGCCCCCGGGGTGGGCAGGTCAGTGCGCCTCGGAGGGCTGGTCCCGGTTCCTCGGTTCCTGCGGCTCAGGCGCGGCCCGCCAGCTGGCACCTTCGGGACGAGGATGCGGGAAGGAGCGGGATGCGGGAGGGAGCCGGTCGGGCCTGGAGCGTACCAAGTGCCGGGCCGCGGGGGCGCCTGGCTGTGCCCGCAGCCCCTGCGCACCCCCTCCTCCCCACACTCCCCCCTCCCGTCTCAGTACCTGCCCCTCCCGCCGGGTAGGATCTTGAGTCTGGCCTCGAGCCGCCCGCAGGAGCCGCAGCCCGGGGCGGCTCCCCCTCCAGCGGGTGGTCCCGGCCTGTGACAGCCCCTGCAGTGCAGCCGGGACTGGCTGCGGGGGACCCTGCTCATTTGAAAATCTGACATCAGCTGGGCAGTCGCCCCCATCCTCCGCTCCTCCCTCTCCTCTGACCCAGCATTTATCACGTGCATCTTCGTTTCTCTCCCAGGAACCCGCCATTCCCCACATCCAGGAAAATGTGATGCGCTACAGGTATTAGCTTCTAGGTCGCCACTTCATGTTCCAGCCACAAGTGACTGGAGCGGAGACTCTAGGAGCAGCGAGGAACCTCAGGAAAATGTCTAAAGAAATGGCAGACCAAAGGGAAGCATCTGGGGGGAAAGAGGCGTGCAGAGAGCGGCCCAGAGAATCGGACAAAGTGGAGGTAGGGGCCTTGGGGAGCCCTGGTGCCGCTGGAATAGATGGGGCTTTGGGGTGCGGTGGGGTTATTGGTGTGCTTGGTGCTGGGGGCGATGCAAAGATCCCCCATACTGACCTGGCCCTCCGAGAGCTCCTATTGGGGCGGACAGACATACAGAACAGAAGGCGCCGCCTTCCGAGGCCCAGTCTGGCTGGTGCGCTGTGGGGTCTCAGGGAGAGTGAGTCAGGGTCAGAGCGGGTCTATCACGCGTCCTGGACGCTGGAGGCAAAGCACCGGACCGAACTGCGACCCCTCTGGATCGAGGCAGCCAGAGCGCTGGGCGCGCAGGTCCCTGCAGACTGCCATGTTCTCTGGCGAGTGCTCTCTGCTCGGGCACCTACCGGCCCGAGAGCTGAGGACGGGCGACCAACGTCAACGCCGGCTGGGCGCCGCCTCCCTCCCGTTTTGGGGGTTAAATGGCCCGGGTGAAGGTGTGGGCGCAGGCCCGTGATTGCGGCCTGGAGGGCGGGCCCAGGGGATGCTGCTGACTCACAACATGCCCGGGGGCTGTCGTGGGACGGGAGGGAGGTGCCTGTCCCCTTTAGCCCGGTAACCGGAGGATGCGGACTGCGGGGAGGAAGAGCGCGGAGCGCGCGTAGGTGGAGCCCCGCAATCCCGACAGCTGGGTCCCTGCGCCTAGCCCCGCCCCTCCCCTTGGCGAGGCCCCGCCCCCGGACAGCATTGGCCGTCGGCGGGCGGGGGCGGGGCGTGCCCGGGAGGCGGAAGTCCCTCTCGCCGTTGCCCAGGCAGCGCGCGATGCTGGTGAGTCCGCTGAGCTGTGGCTCCGGCGAGTTGCTGTTTTCAACCGCGGCGGGGTGCAGTGGGGGCTCCGGGCGCCGCGCCCCGCGGCGAGCGGGAGGGGGCTGGCGGGGAGCGGCCACAGTCTGCGGGACGCCCTGCCCGGCGTGGGGCGCGGGCCGGTCAGGAGAGGAGAAACTCGGGAGGCAATTGTGACTGCGCTTCGGCTGCTTCTTGAGTCTGGCTTTGCGACTTTAGGCGCGTCGCACCTTCTCTCGGGGCAGCCACCCCGCAGTGCGGATTCAGTGTCACTGTGTGTAAAAGCGCCTTAATAATTTTAAGGTGCGCACCCTCTGTGTGTTATGTATTGTTGTGAATGAGTCTCAAGGCGGCCTATCCGGAATCGGGAGGCGGGAGGACCAGTTTAACTGAGCAGCCCTGGCACTGGGTGTGAACAGCGCAGTGGAGGAAAGGGAAGGGACATTGCCTGGAAAACAGTCATTTGGAGAAAGGCCATGTGAAACAAAGACTCTGCTATGTCCTGTTATATCTGGTTCTTCAAAGTCAGCCCAGTAACCTTGTCCTTTTGTCCCCACCTCCCTCCAAAAAGAAGCTATTTTTTTCCTCCTCTCTTGTCTTTTTCCAGGAACCACCAGCTGCTTCATCCCATGGCCAGGGGTGGCGTCCAGGTGGCAGAACAGCTAGGAACTCAAAGCCTGAACCCGGGGCCAGACTCACTGCACCCCTTACCATGGTCAATGACCCACCAGTACCTGCCTTGCTATGGGCCCAGGAAGTGGGCCATGTCTTGGCAGGCCGTGCCCGCAAGCTGCTGCTGCAGTTTGGGGTGCTCTTCTGTACCATCCTTCTCCTGCTCTGGGTGTCTGTCTTCCTCTATGGCTCCTTCTACTATTCCTACATGCCGACTGTCAGCCACCTCAGCCCCGTGCATTTCCACTACAGGTGAGAGGGGTCTTGTGTCAGAGAGGAATCCTGTGGGAGAGCTGCTGCGAGACCCTTAGGGCTTATTCAGTTCCGTCCCCTCATTTACAGAGGAGGAAACTGGCCCAGTGGCTCATATGACTTACCTATCGCAGCCCAAAGCTAAACAGCAGATCAGGTCTGATGGGGGTCTGGGTTCCTAGTTGTACCTCTGGTTTAAAAGGTTTAAAAAAAAACCCTTCTAGACTGTCTCCCTGAGTGTCATGAGTCAGGGAGACACATGACCTCTCTCAGGGCCACAGTAGACTTCTGGAACAAGCCAACCCCTTGGTTCAGCTCAAAGCTAACCTGGCCTTTACTAAAGGAAGTATTAGGAAAGCAGCCATTTGCCCTTTGCATCACTTCCGCTCCCAGTAGTCTACTGCACAGTAGAGATTATGGAAACACAGGTAGCTGGATATGTAAACTCCCAAAGTCATGCTCTTCCCATTTACAGACCCTGCCAGATTCTCTCCCCTTGTCTTAACAACGGCCAATCAAGAGAAACTGATAAGGACATTATTGTCAATGGTCCAGAATCTTTTTTTCCCCTGTCTGTGTCCCTGATTATAAGCTACAATTTCTAAGAAGCTATGGATGTCATGAAAGCTATGGCTCATATATATATATATATATATATATATATATATATATATATACATATATATATATTGATTTCAGAGAGAAAGGGAGAGGAAGAGAAATAGAAACATCAATGATGAGAGAGAATCATTGATTGGATGCCTCCTGCACACCCCACACTGGGGATGGAGTCTTCAACCCAGGCATGTGCCCCGACCAGGAATCGAGCTGTGACCTCCTGGTTCATAGGTCGATGCTCAAGCACTGAGCCACGCTGGCGTTATGGCTTTTCTTGCCATAAAAACACATCGATATGCCCACCCATATGCTGCACACACATGCCCATGTGCAATTTTGCCTACAACTTAGCGGGGGGGGGGGGGGGGTCATGACCGTCTTAAAAAGGGGTTTTCTCAAACCGGGCCCCAGACCAGAACTACTGCATCAGAATCTGGGGGTGGGAATCAAGCTCTCCATGTGAGAAACACTTAAGTCTGAAACTTTTTTTAAAAAAATTTATTTTTATTGATTTCAGAGAGGAAAGGAGAGGGAGAGAGAGATGGAAATATCAATGATGAGAGAGTATCACTGATCGGCTGCCTCCTCCCTGCCCCCTACTGGGGATTGAACCCGCAACCTGGGCATGTGCCCTTGACCAGAATCGAACCCAGGACCCTTCAATCCACAGGCTGACGCTCTATCCACTGAGCCAAACCAGCTAGGGCAAGTCTGAAACTTTTCAATGAAGTGTCCGTAGAGTCCCACTTAAGAATGTCTGCTCTCTGAGGGGAAATTAGCTGAAGTGGCAGAAAGAGAATGAAAGACTCACTTGAATCTGTGGGCTGCATCTCTCCTCCATCTGTAACAGAGAAGGGTGTTCTGTGAGAAGGGTGGGGGACAGGAGGGAGCACTAGGGGGCCAACAAGGGGTGCAGGCAGGTCAAGCAGACTCCATAACTTAGCAGTGTCATCCTCATTCTCATTTAGGACCGACTGTGACTCCTCTACCTCCTTACTCTGCTCCTTCCCTGTTGCCAATGTGTCCCTAGCTAAGGGTGGACGTGATCGGGTGAGTATGGAAGCTGAAGGGAGGTTCCATTAGAGCTTTGATGACTTGAAATCAGAAGGAAGACTTGAGAACGATCTGGAGAACGGGGGTTGAGTGAAAGGGACTAAGAAAGGAAGGCTCTCGAGGAAAGGGATGATAATAACCAGTGTCACCTAAATAAATTCAATTAAAAAAAAAGGAAAGGAAAGTTAAAGAAAAGTTACTCCAAATAAATTTTATGGCTTGTTTTTTCCTGCAGATGTTAGCAATGTTCTCCTTCTTAGATTGTTTCAGCCAGTCCATATCTATACACGAGGTGTGTTTTAAATCTAAATGAACCTAAATTATCAAACCAGCCGTTTCACTGGACTAGGATGGAAGCCACCCAAGAGTTTTGAAAGCTTGTACGTAAAATTATGAAACTGTTGACGAGTATGTGCAACCTGCCATTACAAAGGGTACTGTGCCATAGGACTGGCCAGCGGCCAGGGTGATTTCAGCTAACCTGGGAGCCCCGAGAAATGCAGAATGGGAACATCCTCCTTTATTTTTATTTATTTGTTTATTTTTTTAAAAATATATTTTACAGAGAGGAAGGGAGAGGGATAGAGCGTTAGAAACATCAATGAGAGAAACATCCATCAGCTGCCTCCTGCACACCCCCGACCGGGGATGTGCCCGCAACCAAGGTACATGCCCTTGACTAGAATCGAACCTGGGACCCTTCAGTCCCTGGGCCGACGCTCTATCCACTGAGCTAAACCGGTCAGGGCTATTTTTATTTTTTAAAATATTTTTATTTATTTCAGAGAACAAGAGAGAGGCATGAGAGAGAATCACTGATGGGCTGCCTCCTGCATGCCCCCCACTGGGGATCGAGTCCGTAACCCCGGGCGTGTGCCCTGACCGGGAATACTAATAACTGGAATATACAGAGCAGATTATAAAGAAAGCCTCAGGCCCTGGCCAGTTTGGCTCAGTGGACAGAGTATCGAGCCTGCGGACTGAAGAGTCCCAGGTTCTATGCCTCATTTAAGTAAACGAGGCATGCGGCCTGCCTGCTGCGAGTTTGACATTTACAGCAAACAGTTTTTGTTTTTTGTTTTTGTTTTTGTTTTTGTTTTTTAAATATATTTTATTGATTTTTTACAGAGAGGAGGGGAGAGAGATAGAGAGCTAGAAACATCTATGAGAGAGAAACATCGATCAGCTGCCTCCTGCACATCTCCTACTGGGGATGTGCCTGCAACCAAGGTACATGCCCTTGACCGGAATCGAACCTGGGACCCTTCAGTCCACAGGCTGATGCTCTATCCACTGAGCCAAACCGGGTTCGGCTACAGCAAACAGTTTTGAATGAATGACTGTATTGGGTGGATGAAATAATGTGTCTGCTCTATGCTTAACACCTTCTAAAAGTAGAAGACGTGGTCCTGCTTTCAGAGAACCCAGAGGACTGATAGGGTTTTGCACATTGTGTTAAATAGCTAGTGTACGATGCAGGTTCTGCATTTCAGGAGAATTTGTGAAGACGGGGCGAGATCAGTGTGAGCTATGGAGACAGGCTCACGGTGGACCTTGTAAAGAAGGGTGGGCAAGTGGGAACGGGAGAGAAGGGGAGAGTCTGCCTACCAGACACACATGAACAAAGGCATGGGGTCGGTCACAGGTTCTGGGATTAGATTCCATGGATCTCCTCAGAACGTTTATTTAGACGGCACATATACACATGCATTCACACACAAACAGCCTGGTTGATACAAAGTTCACATGATAAATAATGCGCTCATTTAAAATGCACAGCTCAGTCATTTGTAGTATATTCACAGAGTTGGGCAACCATCACCACAGTCGGTTTTAGAACATTTTCATCACCTCAAAAAGAAACCCATTAGCTAGCAGTCACTCTCCATTTCCTTCCAACCCACCCAGAGAACTGTTTTAATATTTCAAAGAATTCGCTGAAGCCTCTGGTTTAGACTCATCTGACCTCTACAGGGGGTTAGGAATCTCATGGAATCCGTTTTTTTCAAAAGAGACTTCAGACTGAAAGTAAGAATCTGTATAGACTGGGATCAGCGGCTTCTGCCTTTTACCCTGTGATGAAATGCCGAGTCCCCTCAGCATGCCCAGCCTTGCAGCGGATTCACTACGGCTGGCACAGTGCTTTTCAACATAAAAAAATATCCATTCCCTCTTTGATGACAAACAAGCTTTCCTTCACCCCTGTGGAGGTCACGCTATAGGGAAATAGTTGATATAGGCTTAGAGGGGTACAGGAATGGTCAGGAAACACCAGGGTATGTTTGGTGGCAAGTCTTGAACATTTTGAGGTTAATCCCAGAGAAGAAGCCTTCCCGCTCATAGTGTTCTCAGAGTTCTCCCGACCAAGATAAGGGGCCCAGAATGACAAAAGGATGGTCTGGCGTGACAGTGACCATGCAGAGCTGGCTGAGAGCTGGCTGGGGAGATGCGCACTCTGGCACTTGGTTAATTAATCATGTAAGTGCAGGCAGGATGGGTCCTGGGGGCGGGCAGTAGCCTCCGGGGACAGGCCTGAGTCACAGATGGCCCAGTTGGCAACACGCTGGTTCACTTTTGGAAAAGAAACGTGACAGCCTTTTCCAGAACAGCAGGGAGAGAGACGTGAGAAGGGTTCAGCCACCAGCAGGGGGCAGCACGACCTTGCAACGAGATTGAGAGGTGGTGACTGCCAACCAGGGTGCTTGTGGCTTAATATTAGGAGGCGAATATTTGAAGGCGTGGGAGGAGGTGGAAAATACGTGTTTTTGAAAAGAGATGGGGCTCCCTTGGGCAGGTGCTGATGTATGGACAGCCGTACCGCGTTACCTTAGAGCTTGAGCTGCCAGAGTCCCCCGTGAATCAAGATTTGGGCATGTTCTTGGTCACCATTTCATGCTACACCCGAGGCGGACGAATCATCTCCACCTCTTCACGCTCCGTAAGTGTTCGTGGCCTGGTGGGAGGGTGTGGAGAAGGTTCACCGTGTTAGAGTATCTGGGTAGGCCTTCAGGAGCAAACGCCTCGCCCCGAGGTCACAGGCACATCAGGGTGGGGAAGGGGAGCAGGCATTGCCCGGTGTCATTGTCCAGCTTTGGGATAAAATCTGAAAAGAACGGCTCTGAATATGGGCCTCCTTGGAGCCAAACAGACCCAGGCTCAAATCCTCACTCAGAAACATACCAGCCGAAACCGGTTTGGCTCAGTGGATAGAGCGTCGGCCTGCGGACTGAAAGGTCCTACGTTCGATTCCGGTCAAGGGCATGTACCTGGGTTGCGGGCACATCCCCAGTAGGAGATGTGCAGGAGGCGGCTGATCGATGTTTCTCTCTCATCAATGTTTCTAACTCTCTATCCCTCTCCCTTCCTCTCTGTAAAAAATCAATAAAATATATTAAAAAAAAAAAAAGAAAGAAAGAAACATATACCAGCTGAGGGCACCGTAACCCTGTGAGTATAAAGTATTATACACCATATTAGGGTAACTCCTCACAGCAAGACCATGAGGGTTCAATGAGGAAATGTAAAGTGCATGTTAGCACACAGTAGGTGTTCAATAAATGTTCGAATGATGAAAATCATTGATTGGCTGCCTCCTGCACGCCTCCTACTGGGGATGTGCCTGCAACCCCGAGCATGTGCCCTTGACCGGAATCAAACCCAGGACCCTTCAGTCCGTAGGCCCACGCTCTATCCACTGAGCCAAACCAGCTAGGGCATGACTCCATTCTTTTGTTTTATTTTGTTAATATGGTTTTATTGATTTTTATTTATTTTTTTAAAATATATTTTGATTGCCGAGACTGGTTTGGCTCAGTGGATAGAGCCTTGGCCTGCGGACTGAGGGGTCCCAGGTTCGATTCCGGTCAAGGGCATGTACCTGGGTTGCGGGCACGTCCCCGTTGGGGGGGGGTGCAGGAGGCGGCTGATCGATGTTTCTCTCTCATCAATGTTTCTGACTCTCTGTCTCTCTCCCTTCCTCTCTGTGGAAAATCAATAAAATATATTTAATAATATATATATATATATATGTTAGAAACATCGACAAGAGAGAAACACCGATCAGCCGCCTCCTGCACACCCCCTACTGGGGATGTGCCCGCAACCAAGGTACATGCCCTTGACCGGAATCGAACCTGGGACCCTTCAGTCTGCAGGCCGATGCCCTACCCACTGAGCCAAACCAGTTAGGGCAGGTTTTATTGATTTTTAGAGAGAGAGGAAGGGAGAGAGATAGAAACATTGATGAGAGAGAAATATCAATCGGCTGCCTCCTGCATGCACCCCTACTGGGGATGGAGCCCCCAAACCGGGCATGTGTTCTGACCAGGAATTGAACTGGTGACTTTTTCGTTCCTGGGTCGACACTCAACTGCTGAGCCACACAAGCTGGGCATCGACTCCATTCTTAACTATCAACAGAACCACGCCACGAAACAAATCCTTAAATGTCTACCTGGGGAAGAAAGTTTCAGGTGGCGCCCTGGCAGTCAGTCTGCTTGGGTGCTAGAGCTATCTGGGGGGAAGGTGGATTGGAGACAGTGGAGGCTGGACCTAGGGAGGTTGCTTAGCAGAGGCCTTTGTTGTGCTGGAAGAGACATGCGGTTGGCAGGGCAGGGCTGCCACGCAAGCATTTGAACAGTTGGGTCAAGACGTGGGCGGGCACGGTAGAAGGAGAAGGTGGGAGCAGGGGACCTGGGGAAGAAGCAGTCTTCATAGCCGCTCAGGGGGACAGGAGTGGGGGGCCCAGGGGAAGCTGGGCTGCCTGACTCCTGCTCGCCTCCTGGCCCCGCAGGTGATGCTGCACTACCGCTCAGACCTGCTCCAGATGCTGGACACGCTGGTCTTCTCCAGCCTGCTGCTCTTCGGCTTCGCTGAGCAGAAGCAGCTCCTGGAGGTGGAGCTGTACCCGGAATACAGAGAAAACTCGGTGAGGGGGTGCAGGAGGGCGGGAGACGGCCTCCCCAGAAGCCTAGAATATTCCCCTCGAGGAGCCGGGCTAGGTCAGGGGGGACAGCCACCAGGAGGCTGGAAGTGGGTGGGCCTCGGATTGACAGCAGCCGGATCTGGCCTGATGGGGCCACCCCCTCCACCCGACCCCGCAGTACGTGCCGACCACTGGAGCGATTATCGAGATCCACAGCAAGCGCATCCAGCTGTACAGGGCCTCGCTCTGCATCCACGCCCACTTCTCTGGGCTCAGGTAGGAACCGGGGCTCAGTGAGGAGGTGGAGGGTTTAGCGGGGTCACAGGTCACCGCCCGGCTGCACAGATCAGCTCCCTGGGGAGCCTTTCCTCCTCTTGGTGCGTGTGGTTTTTTGAGGTCATGTTGGTGCCTAACATTTCAAGTGCACAACATCATAATTCAACAGCCATACACTGCAGCATGCTCACCACCAGAGCCCATCTCCACCACCACCACACAGCGGGGCCCTTACCCATCCCTCCCCCTCCGCCCCTGCCCGATCTCCGGTGATGAGCAGCATGTTGTCTGCCTCTATGAGTTTGCTTTTGTTTTGCTTTGTTTGTTCCCTGGGGAACTTTTTAAAATGCCGATGCCTGGGACACCCCACCCGGCCACCTGAACCCCAGTGGGTGGGGCTCACGCGGGCCCCCAGCTGTGTGAAGGCACCTAGGGAAGGCGACGTGCAGCCAGAGCTGAGACCTGCCCTCAGGAGGAGGCTGGTGCCCGTAACGGCTCCCTTGCTGTCCCTGCTTCCTGCCTCAGGTACCTGCTGTACAACTTCCCCGTCACCTGCGCCTTCATAGGCGTCTCCAGCAACTTCACGTTCCTCAGCGTCATCGTGCTCTTCAGCTACATGCAGTGGGTGTGGGGGGGCATCTGGCCCCAGCACCGCTTCGCTCTGCAGGTGCCAACGGGCCCCTTCCTGCCCCTTCTCTGCCTGGGGAGTGGTCCAGGGCGTGCCGGGGGCCCTGGTCGCTGGGGGGGACGTCAGTCCCCGCTGCTGAGTAGCTTCTCCTCCTCAGGTAAACATCCGAAAGAGGAACGGTTCCCGGAAGGAGGTCCAGGGGAGGACAGCTGCCCGCCGGCCAGGTAAAGGGGAGGCTGGGGCTGGGTGAGGGCCTGCTCCATCCAGGAGGAGGCTGACGGCTCTCACACATGAGCATGCGGGCCAGGCATAGCCACCTGACCCTGTGCTGCCCTCTATCCCAAGGCCAGGAGGAGTCGGCACCCCTGCCGGACATTACAGAGGACGGCGAGAGCCCTGACCCCTCAGGGACAGGTACGGTGCCGCAGCCACCGCCTCCCTCCCTCCTGCCTCCTCCCTGCCTCCCCAGCAGCTCTTCCAGGCTCCCCTCTGCTTTCTCCCTGTGGCTGCAGAGGGCCAGCTGTCCGAGGAGGAAAAGCCAGACCCGCAGCCCCTTAATGGAGAGGAAGAGCTAGAGCGGGAAGCCAGCGATGGTGAGGGACCCCATGGGGACCTGGGGTGGGGGTGGCATTCGGGTAGGGGCCCTGGTTATCTGATTTCCTGTTTGGGGTTTTGCTTTTCCCTCTCCTGGCCCAGGCTCAGGCTCCTGGGAAGATGCAGCTTTGCTGACAGAGGCCAACCTGCCTGCGCCTGCGCCTGGCCCTGCCCTGGCCCCCGAGACGCTGGGCAGCTCTGAACCCTCCGTGGGCTCTCACCGGCAGCAGCTCACCTGCTCCAGCTCCTGAGAGCAGGCAGAGCCCCTCCCGAGTCCCACACACACTCCAGCCCTTCCCCCCGCCCTGACCTTTTCCTGCGGCCTCCCCAATAAACAATATTCTTGCCAGCTGCCTCCCTGACTCTTCTTTTTTAGCTGTTTTTATTTATTAGAGAAAGAGGAAGGGGGAAGAGAGAGAGAAACTTCGATTTGTTGTTCCACTTAACCGTGCATTCTACTGGTCGATTCCTGCATGTGCCCTGACCAGGGATTGAACCGCAAACCTTGGCGTGTCAGGACGATGCACTGACCCAGATGAGAAAGGCCTCTACATCGTGGGCTGTTTTAGTCCCAGCTGTTCTGTGGTTGGTTTTTTGTTTATCCTCACCCACGGATATGCTTAGAGAGAGGAAGGGGGGGCGGGCGGGTATGGGGATATCATGTGAGAGCAACATCAACTGGCTGCCTTCCCTACATGGCCCGATGGGACCGAACCCACAACCCAGGTATGTGCCCTGACCCGGGAACTGAACGGGCAATCTTCCGGCGCACAGGATGAAGCTCAGCCAACTGACCCACCCTGGCTGGGCTCGGCACAGCTGTTTTCATTCATGAGCCTAGGAAGTGCAAGGAGGGAAAACCTATCTGGCCTTCTCCACATCACTCTCATCTCCCTGTGGGGAGTGGGGAGTGCAGGGCGGGTCTGGAGAGCTGGCCTACATCATCCAGGCCTCTGCACCCCTCCCTTTCTGTCCATTGGGAGGCAGAAGACAGGAAATGACAGCCATGGATGTGGTATGATTTTTACTGAAACAGCATTTGGTAGCCTAGGCCACATGCTGTCCACATCTGTTTTCCTCTCTGATACCAGCCAGGTGGCCCCCTCCCGTGTCCCTCATCCCTGGCATGACTTCAGCCTTTGGCTTCTCAGCTGCTGGCTGCTTTCCACATTCCAGTCCCTTTCAGAACCCAGGCAGCCTAGCCTCCAGCTGAAAGCACGGCCTGTGGCTCCCCCCACCCCGGCCCCATGACTCAGGCCCTCTGCGGGCACCAGCCCTCTTAGCACTTACCAGGAAAGGAGGGCAGGGGAAGGGGGGCTCCGTGGTAACCTCAGAGTCAAAGGGTATAAAAACAGCATTGAAACTGAAGACACGAAACCTGACTGCGCAGCCTGTGTTCCCGGAGACCCCCGGCCTGACGTTCGTTCGCTAAGATCTGGTCACAGAATCCCGCTGCATCAAGGCCTGCGCATGGGTGAGGCGCCGGGTCGGAGGGGTAGGTGGGAACAGGCAGGGGCCAGGCCTGAGTGACAGGTGGGGCTGAGTCTCCCTTCCCCTTCTGCTCGTCTCTCTTGCTCTCAGCTCGGTGCTTGCTTGTGTCCTTGACTGATGCTTGTTTTACTTAGACCTCTTCTCCCCGCTCGCCCCCAAGCACTTGGTTTATTCATTAACTGTTTCTAGTACTTCCTACCTTGCTGGACACCCAGCTGCCTCCTGTCCGACCACATTTTATTTTTTGCCCCAAATCATGCACATAAGCTGTTCAGAAATTGGTTGACAAATTAGTGTGTCCGTCTGGTTCCCTCCCCTTTTGTACTCTCCGTCGCCAGGGGTTTGTTGAGGGGAGCCTGGATGGCATGGGGGCCCAGCAGCCTTTCCTGATCCACCCCCTTCCCTTCCAGGCTCCATGCCGGGCCCTCCCTGCCTCCTGTGGCTGCTCCTGGCTGTCGCCTTCTCCGGGGTTCCCAGGGCGCAGCCCTTGGCCCCCCAAGACTTTGGAGAGGAGGAGGAAGAGGAGGCCCCGCGGCCACCGGGGCCGGCCGTCCTCTGTGACTACGACCGCTGCCGCCACCTGCAGGTCCCGTGCAACGAGCTGCAGAGCGCGGGCCCCACCGCCTGCCTGTGCCCCGGGCTGTCCAGCCCCGCGCTCCCGCCCGCGCCGCCGCGCCTGGGGGACGTGCACGTGGTGGCCGAGGACGGCAGCGCCGAGGTGCGCTGGTGCGCCCCCGCCTCCCCGGTCCACCGCTACTGGCTGCTGCTGTGGGAGGGCGGCGGGCCCCCCCAGAAGAGCGGCCCCTTCAACGCCACCGTCCGCCGAGCGGAGCTGAAGGGGCTGAAGCCCGGGGGCGCTTATGTCGTGTGCGTGGTGGCGGCTAACGCGGCGGGAGAGAGCGGCGCGCCCGGGCCCGGGGCGGGCGGCCAGGCCTCCGAGGGCTCCGCGGGCTCCGCGGGCGCGGGCGGCCCTGCCTTGGGGCCGTGCGGCCGGGTGGTCGTGCCCCCGCGGCCCCAGAGCCTGGTCCACGCGGCCGTGGGCGTGGGCGCGGCGCTGGCCCTGCTGAGCTGCGGCGCCCTGGTCTGGCACTTCTGCCTGCGCCAGCGCTGCGGCTGCCCCCGCGCCCCCCCGGCGGGCATCGGGCCCCCGCGGAGCCCCCGCCCGGCCAGCTGAGCCCGCGCTCCCCGAAGAGGTGCGGGGCCCCGGAGCCCGCGCCCCCAGAGCTCGTGCGGGCCCCAGACTGTCTCTTCTGGCTGAAGCTGGGGAAGGGGTAGAAGAGAGGGTCCTTTCTTAAAGGATCAGATGGTAAATAACTGGTTTTGCGGTTCCGGAGGATAAAAGAAGATATTATGTAGGTCCTCATATCACCATGCAACCATTTATAAACATGTACAAACCATTCTTAGCTCATGGGCCTTACCCATCAGGCCGGGGCACATCTGGCCTCGTTGGCGTTGCTTGGCAACCCCTGCCCTGCACCCTGGAAGGGCTCGGAGAATAAGCTGCTGCGGGGTGGAAGCTTGGGGCCGCAGACCACATCTCCTTCTGCCTTTTGTTTAGCTGTTGAGCTTGCGCACACCTGACTTAATCCACTTGCGTCTCAGGCAGGGAAGGGGGCGGGGGGATGGGGACAGCCCATGCTGCTGTCTGCGCCGAGCTTGCCAGTTAAAAATAATAACAAGTAATAATATAATACCAAGGGCTTTCCCCTTTCCCCAACTTGTTTCTTGTGTACCCCCTGTAACAACATTAAAGGAAAACATTTCATTTTCATAATCCTTTTCAACTCCCTATCCACACACCTGTTCTTCAGAGTAGTATGCATAATTTTGAATTTATTTCTAAGTGAATTAGATGTAGAAAAGTCTTATGTTGCTAAAGAGTATAATCCTCACTTACTAGTATATTGATCTTACTTTTTTTCCCCCCAGAAGCCAGAAGTGGGATTTGAAGGTCTTATAACATTTTTTAAAAATTATGAAAGTAACACATACAAATTTTACGTAATACTGGAGAGTATAAAGTGAAAGTTCCCCTCCTCCTCAAAACACTATTGCTTGTAGCAGAGGTCTTTACGTAATACAATTATTTTCTCTTTTTTAATTTTTATAAAGCTACTTATTTTTAAAAAAATATATATTTTATTGATTTTTTACAGAGAGGAAGGGAGAGGGATAGAGAGTTAGAAACATCGATGAGAGAGAAACATCGATCAGCTGCCTCCTGCACACCCCCTACTAGGGATGTGCCCGCAACCAAGGTGCATGCCCTTGACCGGAATCGAACCCCGGACCCTTCAGTCCACAGGCCGATGCTCTATCCACTGAGCCAAACCGGTTAGGGCGCTACTTATTTTTTAATTGATTTGAGAGAGAGAGAGAGAGAGAGAGAGAGAGAGAGAGAGAGAGAGGGAGAGAGAGAGTGAAACATTGATGAGAGAGAAACATTGGTCCGCTGGAGCCCGCAACCCAGGCGTGTGCCTTTACCGGGATTCTAACTGGTGACCTCTTAGTGCATTGAACACTCAGTCAACTCAGCCACACCTGACAGGACTTTTTAAAAATTGATTTGAGGAAGGGAGAGGGAGAGAGATAGAAACATCAGTGATGAGAGAGAGTTACCGATCAGCTGCCTCCTGCCGGCCTCCAGCAACCTGGGCATGTGCTCTTGGGTGGAATCAAACCTAGGACCCTCAGTGTGCAGGCTGACACTCTATCCACTGAGCCAGACCAGTGGCCACTTATCACTCTTCAGTGCCTTTTTTGCTTATTGCATCCTCAATAGTTATCTATATCTATGTCTGTCTATCTATCTATCTATCTATCTATCTATCTATCTATCTATCTATCTATCAGCTAATATGCAAAGTGTCACCTTAGCAGTTCAACTGAGAGACTGGTTGTTCGATTGCTCGCTGTGACATGCACTGACCACCAGGGGGGGCGCGTTACGAGGGAAGGCCCAGGCCGGCAGCTGGAAGGCCCCAATGGGCCCTGATCACTGGCCAGGCCTAGGGACCTTACCTGTGCACAAAGTTTGTGCACTGGGCCTCTAGTTTACAAATAATAAGGGCCAACTATTTAATTATCAAAGACATGTTTACACAATACAGTATACAGATGCTGTGTTGTGGAATTGCACAGCTGAAACCTGTATACTTTTGTTAGTGTCACCCCAATAAATTCAATAAAAAGTGGGGGGAAGACATGCTTTGCATGCATTCTCAATCTTTGTGATCATTACAAGAGATGGTATCACCTTTTTACAGATGAGAAAGTTGAGGTTCTAAATGGTTTGAAGCTACTTGTAGTGAGTTGAGTTAGGATTTGGGCTCAAGTTTCCCGACTCCAAACCTGATGCACTTCACTCCACCATGGAGAGGGAACATAGCATAGCGGTTCAGTGAGTGCACACTGCGTTCACTAAGTTCACTAGGGTTTGAATCCTAGCTCTGCTACGTACCAGCTTTGTGACCTTAGATACATTATCTCATCTTTCTGTGTCTGTTTCCTGTGACTAATGGTACCTATATCCTACGGATTGTTGTGATGATTAAATATGCATTAATCATCTAAAAGTCTCTAGTGCATATATTATCAATTCAACTTATTGTTACTCTGCCTCCTAAAATAGCCTAGGGCTAAGTAATCCACAAGGACTACCCAGCAGGGGTATAAATGCGTAATGGGGTAATTATTGGAGCTGGGAGGTGGAGTTGGGATGGACCAAGCAGGCTTCCCTTAGAAAGCAAACCCAGGGAGCATTTGAAATTTTGCATCATGTCATCAGTTTGGCTCAAATAAAATCACAAAAACTCAAGTAAATAAATGGTAAAAGCAAACCCAGAGTCCAGTCCAAAGAACCGACTGGGAGTTGACCAAGCCCACAAAAGAGGCAGGACCTTCCAGGCAGAGGGACTGTAGTGCAAAGACCCAGGGGAGAGAGAGGGTTTGTTTTGCAATAAGCACAAGTTACCCTCAGCCAGTGGGAAACCCAACAGCGAACTACTCACATTTACACAATACAGGCTGGCCGTGCACCTAAGATAGGGCTATTGTTAGCCCCACCTTACAGATGGGACTCGAACAAAAACGGACTGGCAGGAGGGAGCCAGACTACATTTCCTCCTAAGTCAGTGGTCCCCAACCTTTTTCATCTCATGGCACACATGAACTAATTACTAGAATTCTGCAGCACACCAAAAAGTATGTTTTGCAGATCTGACCCCCCCCCTCCCAAATATAATTTTGATTCATTCACACTGGACGCTCTTGTTGTGTTGGCTGTTGTCATTTTTTTAATTTGACAACCTAAGGGAAAGCGGTCAGTGCCCTGGACTGGTCAGGTTGTGTACGCTTTAAAAATTCCTGGGGCAAGCCGAAACCGGTTTGGCTCAGTGGATAGAGCGTCGGCCTGCGGACTGAAAGGTCCCAGGTTCGATTCCGGTCAGGGGCATGTACCTGGGTTGCGGGCACATCCCCAGTGGGAGATGTGCAGGAGGCAGCTGATCGATGTTTCTAACTCTCTATCTCTCTCCCTTCCTCTCTGTAAAAAAGCAATAAAATATAAAAAAAAAAAAAATTCCTGGGGCACACCGGTGTGATGAAGATCGCTGCCCTAAGGGACTGGCAAGTCGGGGAGTTTTAGGCAGGTGGGCGATGACAGGGTAAGATACTGTGTTTTGCAAAGATCCCTGTGGCAGTCGGGCGGAGGCCGGCTCCATTGCCCGGAGAGACGAGGACAGACGAGCGGGTCAGGGTGTGCAGTGGCCAGGGCCCCGCGGGAAGAGCGCCAACCACCTCCCAACCGGCTGCCCAAGGGACCACATCGCCAGCCCCTGCAGGTCCGCCCACGGTGTCGGGGCCGCACCCGCTTCCCCACCGGGGTCAGGCGCCGCCGGGGTTTGTTCAGAAGCCTCGTCTCTCTCCGGAACTCTCGCGAGATGTCCCCACCCCCGCCGCCCCGGCGGGAGCGTCAGGCTTGTGCTTTCTGACTCTCGGCGGCCCCCGTCCACGTCCGCCGCCACGTGACCAAACAGATCCGGGCACTTCCACTTCTCCTCCGCTTTCTTCTCGGCAGTGTCCGCGGCGGGTCCAGAGTCGGGTGAGCGAGCGAACGCCTGGCCGGGGCCGTCCGTGGGGGGCGGGCTGGCCCGCGGGCCGGGAGCGACCCTCACGGACCCCCGCCCCCCCTCTTTCGTCCCCCCAGGTCCCCGCGGAGGCGGCGTTGGCGGCGTCATGGCGGAGCTGACGGCTCTGGAGAGTCTCATCGAGATGGGCTTCCCCAGGGGACGCGCGTAAGGGAGCCCCTCTAGCCCCGGCCCGCGGGGCTCGCGGGCGTGTCCGCCTCCCCCCCGCCCGGCCTCAGGCTCCGCGCCCCGGCCTGACCGTCGCCATGGCCCGCGGGCGCTATCACGGTGTTTCTGCCCCCAGGGAGAAGGCTCTGGCCCTCACAGGGAACCAGGGCATCGAGGCCGCGATGGACTGGTGAGCGCCCACCCCGGGGCGGGGACGGGGGCGGGGCGGGCAGCCGCGGGTCGACCTCCCTGCCGACTCTCTCCGCCAGGCTCATGGAGCACGAAGACGACCCCGATGTGGACGAGCCGCTGCCGACCCCCCTCGGACATGTCCTGGGACGGGAACCCACCTCCTCGGAGCAGGGTGGCCCCGAAGGTCCTGACCGAGGGGCGCGGTGTGGCTGTGGAGGGGCCCGAGGAGATGCCGGGGGTGACGCCGATGGCTTGTTTGCAGGGCCCGGGTCCCCCGCGGAAGAAGGGAAACTCGTTCTGAGCGAAGAGGAAAGGCAGGAGCAGACGAAGAGGCACGTAGGCGGCACGGCCCTGCGCGGTGGCGGGTCACCTTGTGCCTCTCTCCGGGCGCAGTCTGATCAGTGTCTCCAACTGGCCACATCCCCTGCCCTCTCCGCGCTTCCCTGTTGTGCTGGGACCCAGGTCCCCTGGCTTGTGCTTTCCGAGTCCCTTGTTATCAGCCCACCTCTCCACCCCACGGTCATTTCCCTTGAGCTTTGCTGTCTGCATACAGGATGCTGGAGCTGGTGGCCCAGAAACAGCGGGAGCGCGAAGAGAGAGAGGAGCGGGAGGCGCTGGAACGGGAGCGGCAGCGCCGGAGACAAGGGCAGGAGTTGTCCGCGGCCAGGCAGCGGCTGCAGGAAGACGAGATGCGCCGGGCGGCGGAGGAGCGCAGGAAGGAGAAGGCCGAGGAGTTAGCAGCCAGGTGGGACGCTGGTCAGAGCTGAGGAAGGAATCAATATTTGCTTTGTCAGGGCCTGACCTGCTTTCTTCCTGTCCGCGTTCCAGGCAGAGAGTCCGAGAAAAGATTGAAAGAGACAAAGCAGAGAGAGCCAAGAAGGTAGGCGGTTGGGAAGACGCAGGAATTAAGTGGATGAGGCTAATGAGCCCCATTTTCTGCTTCGGAGGGCAAGGCTGGGCTCAGTGTGTCTCCTGCGGGCGGGCGGGTGCCTGATGGCGTCTTGCTTTGTCCTGCAGTATGGAGGCAGTGTGAGTTCTCAGCCGTCCGCACCCACCGAGCCGGGTTCTGTTCCCTCCTCTCCCAGCCAGGAGCCTCCCAGCAAGCGGGAGTATGACCAGTGCCGCATCCAGGTACTGATTCTCATTCTAGGTGCCACAGAGACCCCTGTGTTGGCCTGTCAAGCCCCTAGCCCAGAGCTTTGTTTGTTAATCCTCACCCAGGATTTTTCCATTGATTTTTAGAGAGAGTGGAGGGCAAGAGACACAGAGAGAGAAACATCAATGTGAGAGAGAGACATCAATTGGTTGCCTCTTGCAGGAGCCCCGACCAGGGCCAGGGATCGAGCCTGCAACCGAAGTGCGTGCCCTTGACCAGAATCGAACCCGGGCCCCCTCAGTCCGAGGGTCGGAGCTCTGTCCATTGAGCCAAATAAGCTAGGGCCCAGAGCTTTTTTCAGTTATGTTTCCTTTGCCAAACTTCTCCCTTCTTTGTAAATGACTTTTGAAATCCTACCTTCTCTCCTCTTAGGAATAGTATCAAATTTCACTTGCCCAGTCTTCTTTAAATCCATACCTCCCTCTTACTCAGCAGTTACCTCAGCTTGTTCATGCTTCCATTGGCTGTGTTACACAGCTGTTTGCAAAGCTAACATTCATTCATTTATCTATCATGGTGTTTTTCCAGGTAGTTTTGTGGACTCTTAAGTTGTGAGGGAACAAGGAGTCTGTCTCTCTTCATTGTTTAGTCAAGCAGAACCGAAGTGATTGTTCATTAGGTGCTTGTAGTAGTGATAGTGCTGGTTCCATCTGAGAGGAAGGAGGAGCCAGCTGTGCTCTTTTCCTTGCTGCGTCCCTCCCTGTTTTGACACTCACCGTGTTGCGGCTTTCACCTGCCCTCCAGGTCCGGCTGCCAGATGGGACCTCGCTGACCCAGACGTTCCGGGCCCGGGAACAGCTGGCAGCTGTCCGGCTCTACGTGGAGCTCCACCGTGGGGAGGAGCCGGGCGGGGACCAGGACCCTGTGCAGCTGCTCAGTGGCTTCCCCCGGCGGGCCTTCTCGGAGGCTGACATGGAGCGGCCTCTGCAGGAGCTGGGTATGGCGTGTGGGACCTGGAGCAGGACGTGGGTTGATAGGGACATGCCTGAGAGGGAAGGGCTGCAAAGGACTTGGTGGAGGTGTGAGGCCAGGAATTTGGGAGACAGAAGGTAGGTATGTGTGGCTTAAATCTGCTTTCTTCCTTCATCTTCAGGACTTGTGCCTTCTGCTGTCCTCATTGTGGCCAAGAAATGTCCCAGCTGAGAGGCCTTATCCCACCTCCTGTCTGACCTCTTCAACTTTGATAAAGCACTGACATCTCTTTCCTAATAAATAGCCCCTGAGTTCTCTTATGTGCCCGACTCCTTCCTGAGTGACTGGGAGGGACTAAACCAGGGCCTCAAACTACGGCCCGCGGGCCACATGCAAATACAAATATTGTATTTGTTCCCATTTTGTTTTTTTACTTCAAAATAAGATATGTGCAGTGTGCAAAGGAATTTGTTCATAGTTTTTTTTTAAACTATAGTCCGGCCCTCCAACGGCCTGAGGGACAGTGAACTGGCCCCCTGGACTAAACAGACAGAGGAAGACTAAAGGGAATGAATGCTTTCAGAACAGATGCCATTCATCTTACATTTCCAACAGAGAGACTTGTTTCTGATCTCGGTCTGATTAGTTGCTGGGGAAGTTGAGGAGAGAGACATGCTTGGGGGTGGAGAGCATGGGTAAGATGCTCCTATGGGTAAGATGGTGCGTAAGCTTGGATTCCTTATTGGCTATGTGCCTTGGTTTACTTCTTTAGTGAAATAGGGATGATAGTACATGTCAGTTGGAGTTGTTATGGGGGTTACATAATGTCAATAAAAGGTGCTTTAGCACAGTATCTGGCACCAAATAAGTCCCAGTAATTACTAGCTACTAAAAGGGTAATTTTTTATGCGGCCATTCCTAAACACTGAGGAACATTAGTGACCTTAAAAGCATTTACAAGTATTAACTGAGATATGAAGGTACTGTTACCACCTAGGAATAGGTACAATTAGTTCATTTTAGAGACTCGGACACTAAAGCACGTAACTTGCCCAACCTGACACAGGCAGCTGGTTACGGATCCTGGACACACACCCGGGAGCCCAACTCTAGGTGCCAAGCACCTTTATGGGAACCTGCCTCACAGCCACTGATCACCTGACCCTAGTGTTCCCTAACAGCTGCTGCCTTCCCCTCAATCCCAGGCTGGGAAAGGGCCACCATTAACCTAAAGGTCATAGGTGACATGTATTCAGCTTATGACTTCACCACCCAGCAGCTGAAAACAGCAGCAATGCTCGTATCTGGGTTTATACCTCCGCGTATTAGTGTTCTGGCTAAACTTACGTAATGAAAGCAGCCTTTTTTCTCGTGGACAAAAGGGGAGCCAAGCAATGGACTTGGCGGTGGGGCTGCAGCCTCACTGACAGCTGTACCTCATCCCTTCAGCGGCGCTTCCAGTGGATCCTACGACTGGACTCACAGGCTTAAAACTACAGTGAAACCTTGAGGGAAACCCCACTATTTACTGAGAGGCTGCTCTGCCAGGCCCTACACTTTCCTTTTCTACATTATTCTTATGGCAGCCCTTAAGATGATCAGCACCTTTACAGAGCAGTACTGAGGCTCAGAGGAAACGTGTAACTTGCTGGAGTTGAATCAAACCTCTGACTCAAAACACGCTTTCACTGCTCCCAGCAAACGGGCTCCCAAGGCCAATGGCCGCCGAAGCCGCCGGGCCCGTGTTCAGTGCTAAGAGCTCAGCTCCAGCCTCAAGACAGGAACCCCAAGCGTCCCCTGGCAGCTACTGCTGCACGCTTTTCCAGGGCAGTTCGACTTCAAGAATGCCGCCTGGTTACCCCCAAAAGAACACTCACACGGGCTCGTGCTTTCAAAGCGTGATCGCTGTGCCTATTGGGCTTCGGCCGCACATGGGAAGCGGGGCGCTGGGTGCTGCGGCCATTCCAGCCCACAGAACCGACCCCACAACGGAGACATTTACAGGCGTCACAGCTCAGGGCTCACTTTCCGGATGGAGGAACTGATTTACTGGTTCCTTCAGTTCCCCACATCGATGGCGCCGGCCCGCGAGGACATGAACGCGCAGTCAGTGCATGGTTTTGGGGGGGGGAGTGCTCACCCGGCGGCAGCTCCCCGAGCCCGGGCTCCCCGCCAGGTCCCTGCAAGGCCGCCTCCTCCGCCTGTGCCGGAGCGGAGCTCCCAGCGCCCACGGGTGCAGGTCCCGGCTCACGCTGACTTCCCGCCGCCGCCGCCGCTCAGCCAGTTCTTCCTCCAGGTCACGTTCTCCTGCGTGACAGCTGCCTCCTGCAGAGCGGCCATCACTAACTGCTTGGTCCTGGCCGCCTCTTCCCGGCTCCGTAAGTCCTGCCCCGGCATCTCCTGCGGGAGAGAGGTTCGCAGTTCCGGCCCCAAGCGCGGGGGTGACTCCGCCTGCCCGCCCACCTCACCTCGGATTTCCCACGGCTCCCACCTTCAGCATCGCCTGAACCCGCTCCTCTCCCGGGGTCACGAGGACAAAGAGCGCGGAGCCCACGCCAACCCACGCCCCCAGCACCGCGACTGAGATGAGCGCTTTGCGCAAGAAGCCCATCGCCCACCGCACGCGCAGCGAGGCGCCTGCGCGGTCTCCCGCAGCCTAGAGAGGCCGGCACCGCGTCTCACCGGCTCCTGCGCGGGCTAGAGCGCCCCACAGCGGACACCATAGAAAAGGGCCGGCTAGAGAGGACCCGATCGCGAAAGGTCGCGTCTGGGGCGCCCGAGTCTAAAGCCTGGATGTGGCCGGGAAGCGGGAGCGCATCGGGAAGGCTGAGCGTGTCCGGAAGGCGCTGACCCCGCAGGCGGAGCGCGGGAGTTGGGAGTGAGATGAACTAAAGGTTGCTCCGTGTTTGCGTCCTGATGGAGATGGAACCCGCCACCTGGGCTATCGGAGGACGCCCGAACCCACCGAGCCACCGGCCACAGTGCGTCTCCATGGTTGCCGCGGCTGTTACAACTAACAACCCAGTTCCTGAGTTTCCGGATCAAGAGAAGGCTAGAGCAGGAGAGAGGCTCTAGGCTTTAAAGGTTTTTAAAGCACACTTGTTAAATTTTTCATCATGCTATATACTCTTGGGACATATTTATTAAACCATGAAAACTCTGCCGAAACCGGTTTGGCTCAGTGGATAGAGCGCCGGCCTGCGGACTGAAGGGTCCCAGGTTCGATTCCGGTCGGGGGCATGTACCTGGGTTGCGGGCACATCCTCAGTAGGAGATGTGCAGGAGGCAGCTGATTGATGTTTCTAACTCTCTATCCCTCTCCCTTCCTCTCTGTGGAAAATTAATAAAATATATTTTTAAAAAAATAAAATAAATCATGAAAACTCTAGATTTCGTGTAGCATACCCAAATTCCAATTTGGAGAAGAAAACACCTCTTAGTTGTGTCTGGACAAAATCATTTAAGTTCTTTGTGCCCTAGTGTCTGTATCGGGAAAGGGGCTAATAACTATGCCATAGTTTCAGGAGAATTAAATCCGTTTACACATAAAGGGTTTATAACAGTTCCTGGAAAATAGTCAACACCACATGAATATCCACTTAAAAGATACAAGGAAATATGTCAACTTGGGCAACCCAGTTGGCCAAGGAATCAGGAAGTTCCAAGTTCATCAAGGTTCTTCACTCACAGGGCTCTACTCCAGATTCCCTTGGTGCTGTCCCCCCTGCCTTTCCCAGCGTCACCAGGGAAAGGGAGTGAGTGGAAATAAAGCTCTTATCCTAGTCTCAGGATGTCTTCCTCCCCTGGAAGGCCCATCCTGCGCTCCTCAGATGTAATTAAGGAGCCAGGCTCCAAAGAAGATCAAGGAGCAGCCTGTGGGGTGTACTGGGCAGGGTTCAGAACTCTACTGAGCTCAACCACCCTGCACTCCAAAAACCAGCAGCCATGGACTGTGCCAGGGAGCAGCGAGGATGGGCCTTGGCCTAGAGATAGCCCAGGCTCCTTCCAGCATCTAGAAAATCTGCAGCTGACCAACCCTCCCTGGAAAGACAGAGAAGAAACTGACAGCGTTGAAGGTCATCAGGATGTGCAGGTTAGTACTTCTCCACCGTGTCCTGCTGCTGGCTCATCCTCTAAGTGAGCCCAAGACCCCTGCTGTTCCCCATGCAGGCTGTCTCTCAAAAGACCCAGCTGCCCTCCATTGTGGTAGAAGCTGCTGAGGTAAGTGGAAAGCGGGGAGCTCCGGTGGCCACATGAGGAGCTGCTGTTGCTCACCGATGATGAGGAAGGGGCCCAGGTCTTCTTCCAGGAGCGAAGTGAAGAGCCAGGTGAGGGAGGTGGCAGGTGCAATGGAGCCCTTGGGACCTGGCGTTCTAAACAGGACTCAGTTGTGTCCCTGGCATTCAGCAGTGCCAGGCACACAGATGTTCAGTAAATGTAGTGAAGAAAAATGTTGACGTGGGAGGAAAAGGTCAAGGTGGTTGTTGTACCTGATGAACTTTAGAGAGCAGTTCTGATGTCAGCTGGGTCATGCCTTTTAATGTTTTTTTTTAAAATATATTTTATTGATTTTTTACAGAGAGGAAGGGAGAGAGATAGAGAGTTAGAAACATCGATGAGAGAGAAACATCGATCAGCTGCCTCCTGCACACCTCCTACTGGGGATGTGCCCACAACCCAGGTACATGCCCTTGACTGGAATCAAACCCGGGACCCTTCAGTCCACAGGCCGACGCTCTATCCATAGAGCCAAACCGGTTACGGCAATGTTTTTTTAAATATATTTTTATTGATTTCAGAGGGGAAGGGAGAGGAAGAAAGACAGAAACATCAATGAGGGAGAATCACTGATTGGCTGCCTCCTGCACACCCCCCACACAGGGAATCAAGCCCGCAACCTGGGCATGTGCCCTGACTGGGAATTGAACCGTGACCTCCTGGTTCATAGGTCGACGCTCAACCACTGAGCCACACTGGGCTTAATATGTACTTTTTAAAATATATTTTTATTGATTTCAGAGAGGGAGAGAGATAGAAACATCAATGATGAGAATCATTGATTGGCTGCCTCCTGCATGCCCCACACTGGGGATCAAGCCCACAACCCTGGCATGTGCCCTTGGCTGGAATCGAACCCAGGACCCCAGTCTGAAGGCAGAGGCTCCATCCACTGAGCCAAACTGGCTAAGGCTTAATATGTACTTTAAAAAATATATTTACAGTTTGCTGGGGGGGGGGGGGGGCGAAAAGATACAATTTCCCCAAATCTGACTGCCCAGTGAGACGTAACATTTGGCAAGTCTCTTGCAGATTTCTCCCATCTGTATACTGTTACAGGAACTTTTTGGGGGGAGCGTTTACTATATGCTAGGCACTGTGCCAAACACTTTCATGTCATGATTTTTCAGAACCCAAGGAGGGAGATCCTTTCCCCTCATGAGGAAACCAAGGCTGTGAAATGAGGCTCTTCATTTTTCATAAGTAAAAATCACACACGCAAGTGTTTTTTAGTAAAAAGCAAAACATTTATTTGACCTGAAGTGAAAAAAGATCACAAGTTCATTTGTTTTTAAGGTCAACATATCAGGAACATTTCTCACTGCTAATGGGCTCTTAGCTCCCCTCCCCCAACCCAGACTGGACATTTAGCCCCCGGACCCCAGATCTCTCATGACAACCTTTAATCCAGAACTCAGCTCGGGGCAGGAACAGGGAGAGCAAGATGCCTGCTGGGTTCCGGAGGACAATGTACCAGGAAGCTCCCAATCCCAGTCCTCTCTGGGATCCAACAGGCTTCGAGTCTGCAGAAGCCACCATCTCGGGCCGCCCAGGAGCTGAGGGTACTGTTTGTTCTCTCAACATTTCACCTAGGTTTGTCTGTGGAGCCCTTCTGCCCGCCCTTTCACAATCTTTCCCTTCTACAGGTGAGAAAAATGAGCTTAGAGCAGTGGGCGGCAAACTCATTAGCCAACAGAGCCAAATATCAACAGCACGATTGAAATGTCTTTTGAGAGCCAAATTTTTTAAACTTAAACTATATAGGTAGGTACATTGTTATTAACTTAATTAGGGTACTCCTAAGGCTTAGGAAGAGCCACACTCAAGGGGCCAAAAAGCCGCATGTGGCTCACAAGCTTGCCGACCACCAGCTTAGAGGTTAGGCCACCAGGTCACACATCAGTCTATGCTGGGATTTGGATAAAGAATTCTTATCTGCTGCTTTTAGAAGTTCCTGTTAGTTGGGGGTGGGGAATAATCCACTTATATCTTCTCTATGGGCCTGGTTCTGCTAAATGTTTCAGCTATCAATGTATGCAACACCCATAAATCCAGGCATTATTCCTACCTTGCTGGTGAGTAAACAGGCAGTCAATGCTGTGTGCACCTAGTTAGTAACCATGGAAGCCAGGACTAAAACCCTCATTCTCCAGCCATCTTGCAAAGGCAAAGCTCTCGCCATCTCTCCTCACCCAGCAAAAACCCTAGGGTCAAGTCTGTCTTTAATGAGAGCCTTGAACCAGGTAAGCAAAGTAGGTGATGCCCCTGAAAGGGCCCATCTCCTGCACAGTCACACTCCACCCTGGGGATCCCTGCTCCAGGCAGGGAAGCCGCACATCAGGGTCCTCATCTGAGAACTGAATCAGGGTCCCCTGGGGGCTGAGGACCCTCAGGCATTCGGACAGCAGCTGGTAAGCCCCAGGCAGACCACCTCGGGCAACAGCATCCCAGGTGCCCTTGTCCAGCACTAGGTGGAAGGAGCCGGAAGCCACTGGCTCCAGGTTCTGGGCATCAGCCTGCATGAAGCGGAGGCGGGAGGCAGGGTGCCCAGGGCACAGGGGTGTCTGGCCTTGGCCACCTTCCAGGATGTTGTTCATGTGGGCCACGGCCACGGGAGAGAAGTCCACCCCCAGCACGTCCACTGGGTGTGGGCACTTGGCGTAGAGGCCTACACTCAGGCTGGAGGTCCCACAGCCCACGTCTAGCACCCGCAGTGGACGGGCGACCTGGGCTCCCTGCAGCAGCGGCAGGAGGAGGCCCTGGGCTTCCTCGTACCCAAAGAACCAGTCGAAGGTGGGGACTCTGCCCGGCCGCGGCTGGGCGTGGAGCTTATCCCAGAGGCAGCGGTCCGCCAGGCAGCTACCGGCCAGGGAGCCTGTGGACACGAGCGGAAGGCATGTGTCACCCGAGTACCGCCAAACCACCGCCAAAACGACGCGATGTGACCTGACCCTTCAACAGCCAGACTGGACTTGGGTCAGGAAGAAACCGCCCTGCCTCCCACCGCCCATCTTTCCTACCCGCCGAGGCGCGGCGTGTCCCCGCAGCCCGGCTGGCCACCTGGAGGGTTCGTCGCAGCGCCGCCATCCAGAAATGCTGCAGTGTCGCCCGAACTCCCCGCAGAAGCCTGAGATTCAAGAGGAGATTTGCAAAATCTGCTTCGTGCAATAACGTGTGCAACCTAACTCAGCAGCCGCGGAAAAAAGCACTCGGACACACACCTAAAACGGTACCAAGGGCCTTGGCCTTTATTGGTTGCAACGGGAAGTGGAAAAGGAGGGGATACGACAGCTGCGGATCCTGTGGCGGCTTCAGACCTGAAACAAGAGGAGGCATGAGCACCCCGGGGGGAGCCCGCGGAACTTCGGTTCCGCCCAGCTTCTCGGAGACCCGTGTCCCGGCGCTTGAGGATAGAACCGGCGGACTGGCAACCGTCGGCACCGAAGACATGACGCCGAGGGGGCCGGAGCCCTCTCCCTCTGCCTCCGTACATTACGGGGACCGGGACCGCACGCCCGAACCCCGCCAAGAAAAGGAGGGTTCGCAAGCCCAGCCCAGAACCCCCGCGCGCCCCAGAGACCCCCCCGAAAACAGGCAGCACTCACTCCGTAGCCGACCCGGAAAGGCGGAGGAGCCCACTGAGCTCCCTTATATAGCCCCAGGCCCCGCCCCCGGGCTGCGATTGGCTCTCGGAGGACTGAGGGGCGGGGCCCGTACGGACCCAGCGTCCGGCGGAAACGCGGACCGGAAGCCGACACAGCGGCTCAGCCATGGGTGCTCCGGGCGGCAAGATCAACCGGCCGCGAACGGTGACTATATGGCGGCGCCGAGCGCGTCTCCGCGGCGTCCCGAGCCCTCTGTCCCCCCGGGACGGGCCCGAGGCGCCGGGTGCGGGGAGACCGGGCGCGGGGCGCGGCCGCCGCCTGAGTAGCGTCTTCCTCCCCCGCAGGAGCTGAAGAAGAAACTGTTCAAGCGACGGCGGGTGTTGAACCGGGAGCGGCGCCGGCAGCACCGGGTGGTCGGGGCCGTGATCGACGAAGGGCTGACCACGCGGCACCACCTCAAGAAGCGGGCGTGAGTGCCGGGCCGCTGCCGCGGGTCCTCCCCGGGTCCCGCCCCGTGGCCGAGCTCCCGAGCCGCGGGCACTGTCCGCACCCGCACTTCGCGACGGACGCGTCCCCTGCGTTTGCGCCTTAATTTATAAGCGAAGCCTGAGGCGCACACGGGCGTGGGCCTGCCGCGGGCTGGGTTTCCCCGGGCACCGGGGCTTTTGCCTGGACGTCTCAGGACGGCCTCGTCGGGGAGAAAAGTTCCCACGCCATTCTTTCATTGAATTCTTCATTATCAGTCTTGGCAGTTTATAGTTAGAAACGTATTTCTTTGGCCTTTGCCCCTGGTTCCTGGCACAGAGCCCCTAAAGCCTTCCGAGTGATAGGAGCGTTTTTTATTTCGTTAGGAGCCCCTTTTGAGCACGCCGAAGTTTAAGCTCATGAGTGACCGGGTGGGTCTGGTCACCAGAAAACCCAGAGGTTAGAGGACTGGAACATGAGACCTCCCCCTCCCCTACCTTGGGAAGTAGGTGGCGGCGGGTGGGGTGCTGGTGATTGAACTCTGAGAAGGCTTGAGCAGCGGAGGTTTGATGAGCTTCCTGGTTGGTGAACTGATGGAGGTGCTAGAAGGTAGCTCACCTGGAAAGGGCCTGGGACGCCTGGCCTCGCCCCCATCCCTTACCCTATGCATCTCTTCCATCTGGCTGTTCTGAATTGTATCCTTTCATGATAAATCGGTAAATGCAAGTAAATGTTCCCCTGAGTTCTGTGAGCTCTTCTTACAAATCACGGAGTCTGAAAAAGGGGTTAGGAGAGCCCTGCTTCATAGCAGGTGGGTCAGAAGTACAGGTAGATCATGTCACTGAATTAAATTTATAGGACTTAAACCCCCCTCCCCCGATCTGATGTTAGAAGTATCTAGAATAGAGGAGGAAAATAGTTTCCCCTTACAAATCTCTACAATATATTAAAATTTAACACTTCATGTTAAGTACTTGATGTGTTGAAATTAAACTTACTACCTCAGAGCCCAGATTTTTAAATAGTTCTTTGATGTGGATCCAAAGACCCTTTTTTTTTTTTTTTTTTTTTAAATATGTTTTATTGATTTTTTTGCCGAAACCGGTTTGGCTCAGTGGATAGAGCGTCGGCCTGCGGACTGAGGGGTCCCAGGTTCGATTCCGGTCAAGGGCATGTGCCTGGGTTGCGGGCACATCCCCGGTGGGGGATGTGCAGGAGGCGGCTGGTCGATGTTTCTCTCTCATCGATGTTTCTGACTCTCTATCTCTCTCCCTTCCTCTCTGTAAAAAATCAATATATTTTATTGATTTTTTACAGAGAGGAAGGGAGAGGGATAGAGAGTTAGAAACATCGATGAGAGAGAAACATCGATCAGCCGCCTCCTGCACACCCCCCACCGGGGATGTGCCCGCAACCCAGGCACATGCCCTTGACCAGAATCGAACCTGGGACCCCTCAGTCCGCAGGCCGACGCTCTATCCACTGAGCCAAACCGGTTTCGGCCAAAGACCTCTTTAAAAAATATTTTTTTATTGATTTCAGAGAGGGAGAGAGAGAAAGAAACATAATGATGAGAGAGAATCATTGATTGGCTGCCTCCTGCACACCCCATTCTGGGGCTCGAGCCCACAATCTAGGCATGTGCCCTGACCGGGAATCAAACCGTGACCTCCTAGTTCATAGGTCGATGCCCAACCACTGAGCCACGCCAGCCGAGCCAGACCTTTTTAGTAGCTAGAACCGCCTGTGTGGTTGTGTTGTTCAGGCTAACCCAGATCTTCGTCCTGCCAACCCTCAGGTCCAGTGCACGTGCCAACATTACTCTGTCTGGGAAGAAGCGCAGAAAACTCCTCCAGCAGATCCGGCTTGCCCAGAAAGAGAAAGCAGCCATGGAAGGTGAGGCTGGGCGCAGAGGCGGGGTCGGGGGCTGCCTGACTCCACTTGGGTTCTTTAATGCAGCTTCTCTCTCTGTGTTCAGTGGAAGCCCCTGCAAAGCCAGCCAGGACTAGTGGCCCACAGCCTAAATCAAAAAAGAAGACGAAGCCCCCCCAGGATGTAGACATGGAGGACCTTGAAGATGGGAGCTAAGTCTTACCCCTTTCATCACAAGGTTCTCACCCGGAGCCAGGCGGACTCGGGGCTTGTTCCAGAAGACTTTGGAGAAGACATTGCACCTTTTCACTCTCCCCAGACTCCTCTTCCATAACGGCCTAGTGGCCTGCCTGGAGGGGCGTGTTGAGAGGAAGAGCGGAAAAGGAGGACTGGAGAGGCGGCTCCTTAGCAGGCAACTCCATTTGCAATAAAGCCCATATTCTCGCTGAGATGT